CAGCACTTGGCCTTGTTAAACCTCCTAACCTCCTCCAATTGACCTCAGTCCATTGCTCCAGCATGTCCAACATGATTGCCTTTTGAATGTTAGTAAATTAAAAGTTAAAAAATAAGAGAAGCTCCTGTGCTGCCTTAAGTCAAACTTTTAATATTTACATTTCCATACCATTTTCAGACCTTCTGCTCCATAATGATTTTTTTTCCCCCCCTGGACAATGCTTCATTCTGTGTCAGCTGCAAATTCTCTTTGAACTAGACCTGCAGCTGTGGACTTTATAAAATGTTTATTCACTAATGGAAAGGGAGAAGCCAGTATTAACAGAGTCCAATTGGTTAGGCAGCTTCTGTGTTCAAAATGGAACAAAAGGAGCTTGGACACAGTTGCACCAACATGTAAGCAAATGTCCTTTTACTAAGTGTCTTGAACAGCAGTGTGTCAGAGTATCAGTTGTCCTCTGCATGCACCAGTTCTTTTAGCTGACACACAATCTTGATATTACAGGTATTTGGGTAAAAGGCAAAATGGTTTTGGCTTTTTTTCTCTGCTCTGAAGTTGTTGGGATTTTTAATTAATAAACCCTGGATTCTTTGTGCACCTTAAGTTGTTGCTAATATCCCTGAGAATCTTCTCCAAGACTGGGCCCAGAGCCCAGCACTCATTGTGAAGAGCTGACTGACTTGTCGATGAAAGGAGAAGATATATTTAATTAAACCTTTTATTTTGATGGCATGACAGTAAAAGGCTTGCTCCTCCAGGTGGCTTCTGCACCTGTGTCCCACGTGTGTCTGGTATGTACAAATCAGCTGTACCATTATTGCTCATTCCACAGAAGTTATTTATTCAACCTAGCTGTTAATGACCAGGCTTGTGAGACATCTCCATCTAAACCAGTGGCATGTAGTCCATGAATAGAGAAAGGCTCTCTGAGGGTGTGATTCATCTGACCTACTTTGAGTGGCTGAGCAGATGACTCACAGCCCAGGAGATGCCTGCTCCTCTCCGTCGGGTGCAAAGCAAGCTGAGGATGACTGCCTGGCAGATAGATGTCTGCATTCCTTCCCAGCCACCTCACCCTTGTCTTTACTGGCTGATTTGATTATTGTGCCATTTAGGCAGTTTGCTAACAGCCCACCTACTGCTCTCATTTAACACTCATGTAAAAGAGATCTTTACTTCAAAGAGTAAAATTGAATCATCCATGTCCATAAGGGGTGTGTGCCTGAAGTACCTGCTGATTCTCAGTGACTGTGGATGTAGTGCTGTGAAATCTTTCAGAGGCTCTGATGAAAGCCAGTTTAACTCTGCTGCCGAATTACTGTAATCAAGATTCAGGACAGGTTTTGATTGGGAAATGTCATGGCAAATGTTACTGAGAGAGAGAGGGAAGGCATGCAGTGCAGCAGTGTACTTCTTAACAGACAAAGAGGTCTGAAAGCCATGTATTTATGCATGTCAGCTACTGACTGGTGTTGATGGAGTTGTGTATTAATTCAGCTTGTGAGATTTCAGGCTCTGTGGCTTTCCTGGGAAGGAAAGCTGCAGTTTTACCAATACACTGCTGTCTGCAAGTGTCTGTAGCTTTCAGTGCTGTGTGTACACTTCCCAGTGGTGCTTTCTGCACTGGCTGGATTTTTTCTGCTTTGTTCATAGGTTCTGAAGAACACTGCTGTCTGCAAGTGTCTGTAGCTGTCAGTGCTGTGTGTACTCTTCCCTGTGGTGCTTTCTGCACTGGCTGGATTGTTTCTGCTTTGTTCATAGGTTCTGAAGGTGCCTATATATTTTGCCTTCTACAGGAGTCAGTAAAAGTCTGGCACCTTAGAGAGCTGGTGCCCTAGACCTGATGATTTCCCTGGAACATTTCACTGGTTTCTCTCTCCGCTACAGAAAATGGCTTCAGGCAGCCTTTTGCCTGGTTCATGTACCAGACATCCAGATCTGGGTAGCAAAATGTGCAGGAAAATGGCATTTGTCCTAAGTGGCTGTCACTTTCAAGTAACATAACACCTGTACACTGTCTTCAAAAAAAAAAGTAGCATTTTTTTTCCCTTCTGTCCTATCGATCCCAGCCTTCTCATTTGAACTGTGCTTTTTTTCTCTGCTCCACAAGAGCTTTCTTGTCATGCTTAGTATGCAAGGTGTAGTTAAGTTCCCCTGATGACTTAAATGTGAGCTACCAGGATTTGTGGGCTTTCTTCTGTGATGACAATAAATCTTTCTCTTGACATGGGAAAGATTCATAGACATTGAATATGCCCAGTTATGTTTGACACGTGACATTGCAGGTAAAGTCACACCACAGTCCCTCTAAGTGCAGCCCAGGTCCCTCTTTGGGCAGGCAGCTGTAGACAGCTGTGTTAAATTCACAGTAACAGATACATGGCATGACCATCACTTCATATCACAATTAGCAATAACTCCAGACGTGTAAAACACTCCAACATTATAAAGCTAAAGTATTTGCCTAGTTGGTCAAAGTGATTTATTTCTACATCCCTTCTCTGTCAGGGCAGGGACTGTAATTTACTGCATGTACACTGACTAAAATAGAGAGGTTCCACCCTGCCTACTTTCTGGATTCTGTTGGAGTATCAAATGTTTAGCAATAATTAGATTTTTCTTTTAAATGGTTTCAGTTGCCAAATTAAAATAAGACTTTCTGTCAGTGTTGTAATTACAGTCTGACACCTGACAATTTATCATTTCTGTACACGTTTTCCTCAGGACAAAATATAATTGGAAGTTGGCTGGCAGTTTTCCTAGTGGTGCAGAAAGAATGATAAAATCTAGTATAAGAAATGTTGTATATATTCTTGGAATGGTAAGAGAAATTAAAAACTAAAAACACTAGTTTTTAAGAACTCATTCTTCCTGTGTTATCCCTCTTCATCCATCGAAGCACCTAGTCAGGATTTCTTTGAAAAGGAAAACAATTTCTTTTTAATGCAGTGCAGCTCTATTACAGCTTTGACTGTGTCTAATTCTCAGTGTTACTTCCTTCCAAAAACCCCATTTTAGCACTCGCTGTCATCATAATATCCTCTTTTTCAAGCACTGAGAGGCTGATAGAAATCTGCTTCACAGAAACCTTATCTAGTCCTACTAGAATGATACTGGCAATATAGTAAGATTTTGTCCAATATCTTCCTAGCCATCTGCCTCTTTACTTTGGAGTGGAAGCAAACAGGAAAGCAGCAGTCAGATTGCCTTTGGTTGTCCTGCATCTAAGCTTTCTGATTCGTGTTTCGGGTCCATATTTTGCCGGGGCTTTCACCATACCCTTTTTGTCTCCAGCAAGTACTTTCATTATTTCTTTGCCTCTGTGCCCCCTCTCTAATTTAGTGCTGATAGGGACAAAAAGAACAATAGAACAAGGAGGCATTCAAAGACCCAGCTCTCCCCTGCCATTCAAGATCTTACTTGAACATCATCAAGTAAGGACTTGAAGGATATTCTACCTGAAGGACATTCAAGGTCTTACAGTCCTCCAGTATGTTTACTGCACTAAAAACTTACTTGAATTACCATTAAATTACTTTTTACGTTTCTTTGTGAAGGGACAGGGGGGCAATGGACACAAACTAGAACACAGAAAGTTCCACCTAAAAATAAGGAAAAACTTCTTTTCTAGGAGGGTGATGGAGCCCTGGAACAGGCTTCCCAGAGAGGTTGTGGAGCCTCATTCTCTGAAGACTTTCACTTAGACACATTTCTGTGCAGTCTGCTCTAGGTGAACCTGCTTTGGCAGTGGGGTTTGACTAGATGATCTCCAGAGGTCCCTTCCAACCCCTGCCACTCTGATTCTTTGCTATTTCAGTTCCTCAGCCCTCCTTATTCCAGGCATACCTCTTCTGTTTCTTAAGATCAGTTGGTTTGCTTCTGCAGCTTTCAGGGCAAATCTGATGTTTCAAGCTATGGAAAAGAAATGCCACCAACTGAAGGTGAGCATGAGGTACATGTGATAGTGTTTCTCAGTAATCAGCTCTATCATCAGAGTTTTGGTTTCGCCCTCCTTATTCCAGGCATACCTCTTCTGTTTCTTAAGATCAGTTGGTTTGCTTCTGCAGCTTTCAGGGCAAATCTGATGTTACAAGCTATGGAAAAGAAATGCCACCAACTGAAGGTGAGCATGAAGAGTACAACATGTGATAGGGTTTATCAGTAATCAGCTCTATCATCAGAGCTTTGGTTTCTCATGGGCTAATTAATTATTTCTTGAAGAGCATTTCTCATTATGAGCGTGTTCAGAAAGAGAAGATCCATGTTGACATGGAAGCTCCCCTTTGAAAAAAAAGAAACCCACCAAAAAATAGGACAGCACAATGATTTTCTCTCCTGCGTGGTTTAACGAGCTAGACTAAGATTTAAAAGACAATCTATCATCATACTGATATTGTGAAAGTATTTTCCAAAGGGCCTTATTTGTAGAGTTGTGTTCTCAGTTCCTTTGAAATATCTCAGTTTGGCCACTGAAGAATAGAAGCATCAAAGAACCATTGAGGGTTTTTTTTAAATCTTGTCTTTCCACACCTAACTTTAAAAGGACAGAGCCACAAACCACTCTTGCACTGTGCTGCACTGTGTTTTGCTTGCACTTAGGCTGGTGTGAGCTGACTTCCTCAGATCTCACAGGCAGGAGCACTTCTCCATAGACATCTTCAAAGTGAACCAGGCTGTTGGCATAAATGTGGTCAGTGATTCAGTCAGCAGCAATTTCCTCTTGCTGTGATCGATATCATCCCATTGACAGTAGCACCCTAAGCTCCCATCTCACCCTTTCACAAGGCTGAGAGTCACTCAGCACCTTGTCTGATGTGTGCAGGTAGGTCATGCTCTCATCAGAGTCCTCTGCTAGCTTCTGCTCCTGGTCATACCTTCCAAGGCAGAAAGAGCCTGGTTTCCATGGTACTTGTCAGCTGTCTGGCTGCCTGACCAGGGTACAGAAGTAATCAATGGGCAAAAATGCATTTTCTCACAAGATTTACTTTAAGATACTGAAAAAAAATGATGACTTTAATGCCTGTGGGTTTGTGGTGTTGGCTTTTTTTGTTACACTCATTTTAATCACTGGCTTTCTTTTCTGATAGTCATAATAGATGATATGCTTTGATTGGTTTTGTTGCAGGTACAATTTAGAAAATTACTGTTAATCATTAAGCAGTGAGTCAAAATTAAGAATTAATTCAGAATTTCAAATAGCACAGCTCTCAGGCATGTTCTTCTTTCAAAATCCATATTCCTTGGGCTTCTTCTTTAAGGTGAAAAATTAAGGCCATTGTCTTCTCTACATTTGTTTAATTCTGATTACATGCTAAACAGATATTAAATTTTAAGAAATGTTTCTTTTGTATTTTTTATGGAAGTAATTTTATTCACAAAGCAGAAGTGCTTCTCTTGCTTTTAAGGCATTGTAATATTGATATAGAAAAACACATTAAAAAAGCAAGATGATATAATTACGTGAGAAAGACCACTAGATACTTAATCTGAAAATATACTAAATTTATTCTTCTTAATAATGGAATTAATGCAGTAGCCAATTTATTGACTTCTTTAAATACCACAGGCAAATACTTGAAATCTCAATATTTGAACTGAGAAACACTGTAGCTGAACTGGAAAAAAGACTTAGCAGTGTTGAAGATGAAGGTAAGTGAATAACAACAGAGTTATAATAACAGCTAAATGATTAAGAAATACAGAAAATTAATTCTTCTGGGTAGGCCCTACAGAGATACAAATTTTTGTTTATAAATTTAAATTTTCCCTTTTCAAATATGACTATTATATGTGCGATGTTGCAAGTGTGAAATTAGGGAATGCTCCATGCTGCCATGTTAGCTTTTGTTGTCAATTATTAATGAAACTATGAATAACATGAATTCATAGAGTCAGTTTAGTATTCTGGCCACAATAACCCCAGTGAAAAATTCCCTGGATTTATATCTTCAAGCTCTTTTGTGTGCAGAGATCCTCCTTGTGAGGATTACTAACTGGAGACTCTCAGTTTCCAGGAAGAAAGGTGGGAATAGTTTGAAAAAATGCTAACTTTTACTTGAAATGTCATGAAATAATCTGGGAAATAGAATAGCCCTATATTTGTGTTTAAGGTAATGAATGGAAAACCAGATATGAGACGCAAGTGGAACTGAACAAACAGCTGGAAAGGCAAATTCATATTCTTCAAGACAAGGTGGAGCTTATGCGTGGAAGTCCAGCAGGTAGAAATAGATATTCATAGCTGTTTTTTCAATAGAAATAGGGATTATATGTTGAAATGATATAAATGGGTCAATATTTCTGCTTATTTGTAGATAAATTGTCCATTGTTCGCACCTTTGAGCAAATGTCTGTGGTGAGTACTATGGCATTTAAATTGAGTAACAACAAGTAGCAGTGCTAATTGAAGAATATTTGTAATCTTTATTTCTCATGACAAAAAAATACCAGCAGCCTGGTCTAGAAACCAAAATAATCATCCCTGATTACTTTTCTTTTTTTCAGTTATGCAGCTGCTTATAAATTTATAGAGTATAATCATGAAGGAGGACATATGTAAGACCTGAATGTTGAGAAGAATCATGTAGTACAATTTTTAACCGAGTGAAGGTTGTGTGATTGAAGCTGCAGTAAGGCAAATGAGATGGAGCAGCTGGACCATTTTGATGAATAAATGGAAAAATGTTAAACCTTGATCACAAAATTGTGGAATCTTTTAGTGTTTGACCTCTCTTACAGTGAAAGAAGTGTTTTCTTGTGATCAGGTGGAATTTCATATGTCTCAGTTTGTGTCCATTGCATCTAGTCCTGTAACTAGGCACCACTGTGGAGAACTCTTCTTCATTCCCTCCCATCACCTGTCTCTACATATTGAGAAGCTCCCACTGAACCTTCTCTTCTGCAGGTTGAGCAGACCCAGCTCTCTTAGCCTGTCCTCACCTGTCAGAGAGTCCAGTCCCTTAATCATCTTCCTAGTCCTGTGCTGGACTTACTCTAGGCAGTCCATATTTTTATTGTACTGGGGAGCTCAGAACTGGACCCAGACCTTTGGATATGTCCCACCAGTGCTAAGGAGAAGGGACAGATCACCTCCTTCAGCATGCTGGCAACGTTCATTCTAATGCAGCCCAGGTGGCCACAGGCATTCCTTGCAGCAAGAGCACATTGCTGGCTTGCGGTCATCTTCTTGTCCACCAGGACCCCAAGGTCATTCTCTGCCAAACTGCTTCCCAGCCAGTTGGTCCACAGCATCTGCTGGAGCCTGGGTTTGTCTCTCTCCAGGGGCAGGACTTTGCTTTTCCATCTGTTGAACTCAACTTCATGTGATTCCTCTCTGCCTATTTCTCCAGACTGTTGAGGCCCCTCAGAATGGCAACACAATCCTCTGGTCTGTCAGTCACTTCTCACAGTTTTGTATCAACTGTTAACATAGGTGAATAGTTGCAGTAACATTTTGTATAAGACACTTACAGAAAATTTCCTTATTGTACAGTGAGTTTTTACAAAGGAAGTACCTGTTTTCATTTTAAAAATTTTATTCCTTAATACGTTTATATTTCATGACCTGTATTTCAACAAAGCATAAAACATTTTTTCTCCAGTCTTGGGGAGAAAATAGCAAGAAAAAAGAGCAAATATTTTGGCAATTTAGTATTCTAAAGTACTAAATGAGGTGAAAACGATTTCAGATTCAGGACTGCAATTTCCATGGTCTGTCATCCACTGAATATTTTACTTTGACAACTTCTCTGCTTCTTATCCACTTTCAGAAATAGGGGAGGCAGATAAAGATGTGATAATGTCTTGTAACACAAGCAGGAATAATGAACATTAGGAGGCATTGCTCTGATGATTTCTATTCCCGTTGCTTACACTTACAGAAGTGTTTCCATCTGAGTTTTTGTCAGATTCTGAAGATTAATGAGAGTTTACTGAGCCTAGAGGATGCTGCATGCCCCATTAGTGGGAGTGATTATCTGTTTTAAGCAGAGTGTGAATAATTAGCTGGTCTTTCTGATTTGATCCATTGCTTTCAGATAGTAAACATTCTTGCCAGTTTTAGTAGTGTCCTAAAGACCATGGTGTTTTCTAGATTGAGAGGACATGGTTTTTAAAAAACCCCAGCTAATTAAAAAGAGAACAGCATCTTCCCACCCCTCCTTCCTCTTTCACGGAGCTGACTTGAAAATAAACCTGAGACTATGTTTGAAGAACAGTCTTGAAGATGGAAGATTGATCTAGAAAATTTACATTAGAGTCTGCTTCAAACCCTGTCAGCCTGTAAAGCCCATACTGGCATGCAGGTTTACAGTATCAGAAGTGTTTATTTCCATCCAATTGCTGCTAGGCTTTTAACCAATCCAATTACACCTTGCCAAGCACTCAGAGAGTCATTCCCAGTGAGATCATCTCTTTTACCAGCAGCTGGGCTGTACATTTAATTTCTAATCCCTACTAAATGCTGTCTTACCTCCTCGCCTATGAGCTGTGGTTCTGAGAGGTTTGGTTACTGTTCCTGTAAAGGGAAGAATGACAGCACAACTGAAAAATTCACACTGCCAGAAGGAGTCTAGAAGACAGTTTGGAGAGTCCTAGACATACCCAGTGGCACCTCGGGAAGTCTGGAGACCCTGTGCCTTGCCATAGGGTCTCTGCTGCAGTTCCAAGTCCTTCCTTCAGCCTTCCAGCTTAGAGTGAATACATTCTTCCATTTGCTAGCCAGATGGGAAAGAAAAGGGCTTAGGAATTTAGTGAAAAGTTTCATTTTTCCATATTTCAGTTTTTTCAGGAGATGGAAGGAGGGGAAGAAAATAGATGTCTTTTCTGGGCTTTTTTTTCCCTTTCACTGAAGCTATCAGAGGAGTCAGTGTTTATTTACAGATACTCTTGGTGAATGCAGTGCTGCTATTTTTCTTTTAAATTCTAGGAGATAAAACATTGGTGTCCCCTTTCCCCAGTAATTTTGTGCTATTTAAGCATACAGGTTTATTCAAGTCCTTTTTATGTTTTTGAGAGTTGTTCAGGGGTGTAAGGGGGAATATTTAGCTTCTCCACAGATGAGAATAAAGAGCAGATGTGGTGAGTGGGTGTAGAAAAGCAAAGAGCTTTACAGCTAGTCATCAATCTACATTTCCTCAAAGTGAAAATGCTGAGAGTGGGTATATATAAAATCACGTGTGTATGTGTTAAACCAGAATTACACTGTGATATTCAGCTTTCAATTTGCAATTGCATCTGAAGCTCTGTGGAACGATAACAAAGTGATTTTTGCAGCAAGATGATACAGTTCCTATGATATGGCAACAGTAGGCAATAGGTTTTGTTTTTAGCAACATATTTAGAAAATTAAATAATATTTGCAAATCTTTTTAACCTATATTCTCAAAGAAGTTAGAATTATGCAGTTTTTATTAGAAGGACCTCTAATAATTCTTATCTTCCTATGTTGTTTCATCTGTATTTAACAGAGGAGATATCTCAAAGATGCCAAAGAGATTTATCTCACTCAGCTAGTCATTTAAGGTCCTGCCATAGTCAACAGAAGGAGAAAAATACATTTGTAGAGTAATTCATCCCATTTAAGAATAGGTAGCATAAAATATTTTCTCATTCTCAAGCACTACAATCAAAACAAAAAAGATTAGTCATTGGGACCCTGGCAGTCAGCAAGCTATAAAAACCTGAATGAAAGAGAAGAATACAAATGCAAATTCTGGAGTGATGAACAAGGAAGCAGAGAGGATTTTCTGTGTTGATAAACTGCAGCAATTGTTGCAGATGGCTTACACTATTTTTGCTTTAGAATTAGAATTGTACTGAGGAATGATTCCTTGCTAATGAAAACACCCCTAAACCATTTAAATATACAATTGTCATTCTGACGTCCTTACACTGACTTCAGATAGTCCCTTTTTTTTTTTTATTTTTTGTTTCACAAAAATCATGTGGCTATCACACAACTGTAAATACATAACCAATACCTTGATCACACAAATTTTTACAGCCAGGCTTTAGGAAATCAGTTTTGTGTATTGAGGGCAGATTAAAAATAACCTAAATAATGACAAGCACGAGGGAGTTCCAACAGTGAAAACCCTTTAGTCAGTAATTTCCTTTATGTCCCAATGCATAACACAAGTGTCAGACAATACTTCAGAAATAATCACAGAAAGAATGCCTTCTCTCTAAACTATAACATGATGTGAGTGTTACTTGCATCTCTTAAACATGCTGCATTCATTTGTTCACAGTTTTTCATTACATGAGTTTTGGTGAAACACATGCTTTCTGCTAAGGCTAATTTCTCATTTAAGAAATGATTCCTTTCTCTCTCACCATTTCTGCAAGAAAGAATCCCTAGATAGTGGCTTTAGTATGCAAATACTGAAGAGCATACTGCAAAATCAGTCCAGGGGAGCACACTGCTGATAGCATTGCCTTAGCAACGCCCTGCGCAGCGTTAGCCGAGGAGCCCAGGTTTCTGGGATGAATCACCACTTCCAGGAATGTCCAGCACCATAGCTGGGGGAATACTGACATTAAGGGCCAGATACTTGCTTTGCACATTTGCCTTTCTGAGAGCACAGTGACCCCAGAACTGAGACCTTCACACAACCACCTCAGGGTTTTTGCTGTCAGTTTTAGAGTGGCAAAAATGAAGCAGAATGCACAGCAATGTCACACTGGAGGAGGTGTTGTCAACATGGCAGGAGGGGAATCTTGGGGTTTTGAAAACATGCAGTCAAGACTTCCTATTTCAGTAGGTGTTGGTAACTGCCTACAGGGAACATCAGCACTTTATAATGTCATAGGAAATGCTGACAATTCTCCTAGCAAGTCACTGCTAAATGAACCTTGTTGCTCCTGCTGGATTAAGTCACCAGTAGCTCTGTGGAGAGAAGAAATCTGGTGTCCTATCTTTTTGTGAAACTTGGAAGTATTTTGGAAAAGGTTCTGTAGTCTGGTCTTACTGCCCTCACAGTAACCTGCCTCCTGACAGACTTTTCTTCCTACTGCTTTCATCTGACCTCAGACAGCTATCTTGGATGCCTCTGAGAGCCCTTTTCGATTTGCATTTTTTCTTTCCCTTGTCATGTCAGTGTTAGTTGTTCTTCCTGGTGGCCTTGCACAAACCAGCAGACTGTTTTATTCAGATAACTTTGTGGTAATCCCAGAGGCAGAATACACTTTGTATTTCAAAGGAAACTATTAGAGGAAAATCTTGCAACCAAGTGACATTATTATCTGGCTGTTCTCAAGAATCCCATAGCAATTATAGAATCATAGCATCATTAAGGTTGGAAAAGACCTCTAAGATCACAAAGTGCAGCCATCAACACTACCATGACCACTAAG